TTCCATCAAGGGCATGGTGGTACAATCCATAGTGGTGATGTGATCCTTAGGTTGGCCGGCGGGGGCACCGGAGCAGAACAGCCTCGCTCATGGCCCATTATAGCCTGCTTAATGACCACACTGATGACCCAGCCTCTGTGGCAGGCTCTCCTCACTCTGCCTGGTTAAAATAACATTTCACACCCTTTGCCAAAGTTCCCATTCAGTGGAAGCTGAATACAAATGATGGGATTGTGTGTGTGTGTTTGCTCCGCCTTTTGTGGCAATGAGCTATTTTTGTTTTCCAGTTGGAAAGAGACACCAAGCAGTCTGGTCATACCTGTGTGAACAAATGTGGTAAATTAGACATATCATGCTTTTAAATCCTTCTTTTTCACATGTTTAGCATTCAATTAGGGTCTATATAAAGTGGAACTGCAATGCCTTGGCCTGAATTCCTTCTTATTGTGACTCCACAAGCCCCTCTTTCATTTCTTTGCTTAAGGTGTGTCTCGGATCAACTCATTTGGAGGCTGTCTCTTTAAATCCAAATAAGGAGCTTCACATCTAGGCCCTTCCAGCATTCATACCAGTTTAATCTAGCTATATGGTGGTGGTGGTGGTTGGGGGGGAGGGGTGGTGGTGGTTATCTAGCTGCACAGAAACTTTCTATTTACAAATTAATTAAAATGCAGTATGTCAACAAGCTCTCCTTATTGGACTTGTCCATCCAGCCTTACATGTTGAAGTCAGAGTCTGACCCAGAGCCAGAGGAGAATGAAGACAACCAAATTTTAGTTAATAAGGCCACACAATTATTGGACTTCTGTCGCAAATAATTTGATGCAGTAGTTCAGAAAACTGAACAGGTTAAAAAATATGGCCCAAAAAGAATATAAAGATATATTTGCAGCACCAGGAGAAACTAAATTAATCTTTTTTTGCACTCCTAGAGACTCTACACAACAAAATGTAATTATTGGCTAAACAAAAATACAGTAACGTAAAACACTTGAACTTAAAATGCTTAAATCTGACCAAATAAACTGACACAAATTTGTCAATGTTACAAAATGGTTTGGGGTGTGGGGCAGGCCTCATTAGTGGGCCAGAAGTCAGATTGTGAGGCGGTGACATAAAGCACAAAACACAGAAGAGGTGCTGTTCATAAACAAATATTTTTTTCCTTATTTATTTTGACCAAAAACACATTGTCCCCCTCAAAGGCACTTTGATGAACTTTTCAAGCTAGAAGACAAAAGTTCTGATGGAAATATTTGATAACCTTGGTGTGAGTCAGTGAGACGACACAGAACAGAGCTGACCTTAGAGAGATGGGCAGGGCCAGACAGGCAGAGAATAGAGCCCACATGTCTATTCATACACACATACTATGAATAGATACGAGGATGGAAGGGTCAAAATAAAAGGGGGGGGGGAGGGGCTGACTTTAAGTGACAGAACAAGTGACAAGAGCACCTTATTTAAAAGACAACGCAACTGCTGAAGCAACACTTACTAATGCTGTATTTCTGTGTGCATATCCTCTTTTTTTACTCTTAATTCCTTTCACTGCTGCTATTGTTCTGATTGATACAAGTATTGTTGATCTTACAGTTTTCATAGGGTAAAAGATGGGAAAAAAAGTAATAAAACTTTATTTCATAAGCCATCCTTGGCAATGTTTGTGGCTGAGAGTATGTCTGGACAGTCCGTAATAATGTTTTCTTAAACAAAATAAAAGCCTGCTTTTTATTCTTGTAAAAACCAAAAGATGACTTAACTGTAATGAAGGGCTAGGTTGGTTAGAACCCCAAGTGCAGAAATGAAATGATCTTGGCAAAAATAGTTGCAAAAGTGCTTTATTAAACAAAATCAAAAAGCTGACGTGGCAGCAAACGAGATACTAAGGTTTAGCTTGAGACAATGACGTGAACAGGAACAACACAACAGAGAACAAATATCTGACAAAGACTGAAGACAGAGAACAGAATATAAAGGAGAAACTAATGAGTACAAACAGGAAACACCTGGAGGAGAAACATGAGGATCAGGTGTGAGTGGGTGGGGCTGGAGCACAGGCAGGCAAGAGGAAGAAAACAGATGACAAGATAAAACTAAAATAAAACATTAACACAGACACAAATCGTAACATTAACTACTTGATAAAATCATAGAAAACTCACCATTTTTTGGTTATAAAATTATTGTTTGACTAAGTTTCAGGTCTTGCCTGCTGAAGCTAAATAACACTCAATAAAGCTAACATATTGACAAAATCATCGTGGAAATACAAAAATGTTTGAACTTTATACTTTATAACAATTGAATAGAAAATTCCCATTAAAAACAGGAATAAAAATAGTTTAGAATGTAATAACACAAACACATAAAAATCATAATTGCTCAGTTTACAATATTTTAGTCAGCATTTAGAGCAAACCATTATGTGGGTGGTTTCATTGTGGGGGAACCAACTTTTTTTTACTCTGTGCTGATTGGGTTTGATGTAAAAAAAGGTAATATTTCATAAAGCGAAGTGCTCCGAAAAGAATAAAACATGAGTTGTATCTGAGATATGTCACACATTTTGTATTTTAAATTGAATTATATATATACTGTATATATA